CAACTCGTAGCTCTGCTCAGACAGGAACAATTGGAGTAACAACAGCAGGTACAGGAACAACCATTTCAACATTCGTGCCTACGACTCTTTCAACAGCACAAACCTCAACACAAACAGGTCAAAGTTCAACAACCATTAGTTCGAGTACTGCAAGTACAGCTCGTAGCTCCGTTCAGACAGGAACAGTCGAATTGACAACAGTAGGTACAGGAATAACAGCTTCAACAACTACGTCCATGACCGTACCAACAACAGCAACAGTGACAGTGGTCGTTCCAACGTTAACTATCAGTGGAGGAACAACAAGCTTGAGCAGCGCAGCGACAAATGTTACAGCAACAGGAATAACTAGTTCAATAACCAATACAGATACATTCACTACTATTTCAACAACACTTACAACTAATACAACACAAATGACTACTGTTACTAGCATATTGATGTCAACAACTATTTCAACTACTACAACCGCATCACCACAAAGTAACTTTAAGATTTAGTTATGAGTATGTAATTTGATATAATATTTCTTTACAGCTTGTGGATGGAGAAACTGGGTTATAATCAGCCCTTGCTCAGCTACATGCGGAGAAGCGTATCGATTGGTGAATCGATCATGCGTAAGTTTGATAACGGGTCAGACTTGCGATACCTCTGCATGCGGTAGTGGCAGTGCGATGCAAAATGAATCCTGTCCTGGTTCTCCACCTTGCGAAAGTAAGTGCTTTCATTTATACGCATGAATCAAAATTCAGTATTATTTTTTTTCTAATTTAATCTAGCTATAACTGTCACCCCAGCGCCGAGTATTCGTGATCCAACTTTGCAAATTTCTTCTTACGTATTACCGGATGCAATGTATTTTTTCGAACAAAGCTATGATCGTATTTGGGTATGAACCAAAAATATTTTCATAAAATAAATCATTATTAATTATTTATAGATTACAAATAAGGGTTACATCAGTTTCGGCTCACCATTTTATAGTCAAACAATGACACGTTTCATATTCGGACAACTTTACAACCAGGCTATTGCAGCTCCATTTTGGGCTGATCTTGCGTATGACAATGTAAGTCATATTGTATCGTTCTATCTATCCTCAATAATCAGTGGACATACCTTTGTTTTAGACTAACTCTGCTATCACAGTTAACTGGTATAGTTCAATGAGTGCTAATCAAACTGGTGCGAACACTTACAATGCCATTATTCAAGCAGCAGTATCTGAAGCATGTCCAACACAAAGTTGTTCATCGGATTTTGCAGCAGTTCGAGTTGTTCGAATCAGTTGGCAAAATCTTTACTATACTTCACCTGGCAATAGTGCACCTATAGTAAGTTCAATAGCTTAATATTTCTTGTTAGTTTCTGTTTTGTCATTTTTTCCAGAGCTTGTCGTTCTCTGCATATCTGATAAACACATATGATGTGGGCTCTTATAGTTATCCAATCCTTCGATCATATCTTTCATTTGACTATACTAATTTAACAAGAAATCTAGGTTATCTTAAACCTTTTGTCGGTATGTAAATTATTTTATTTTATGAATTAATTTAAACCAAATATGATATAGGTTATCGTGGAAAATATTCTATAGTTCAAACTTTTAACGATCCATTTTTTTATCAAAATGCATTATTTCTAAGTATTTATTTTTGTTAATTAAATGAAGATTTACAAAAAAAGATCTTTTATTTTTAGCACAAGCTTCACGAAGAAATTTTTATATTGGAGGACGCTTTTTGACTCAATGCGAAGTAAGCTCTTTACAAGAAACTAATTTGATTAATTTGTATCCGTCGGAAAATTTAAATGATGAGGTGTATGTATTTTATTAGATTCTTCTTTTATTTCAATTTGATTTGATTTTAATCTAGAAATAACCCACGATTTCCATGTCCATGTTCACTTGGTCAAGCAATAGCAGATCGTCGTTTCAGTCGTTTAAATAGTGAAACTAATTACGAAAGATTAAAAAGACTTGCTTGTTTTGGACCACTAATTACTGTTTGGATTCCTGTTGGATTTAATTTTAAGGCACTTAGAGCACAAGTAAATAAAAAGTTAAAATATTTTGAAGACGAAACATCACACTTGTTGTTTTTCTCTAAATTGAGTAAATGATAAGAACATATATGTGCTTTTTAGACATGTTGTTATAGCGAAATTAATGGAGGTTTAATTACCTATGGTGATCTTGCTGGCTCAGTACTCTCAAATCCATTTATACTTTTTCAACAATATTCTTGGTTAAAACGAATTGCCTTTCAGTAAGCACGACTTATCTTTCGAGAGAAATCATTCAAATGAAAAAATCACTTTTAAGTCGAAACTATGTGTATCATATACTTAGCAATAGCAACATTGTGTTTCACATTTTGATTCTGCAAGAATTGCACTGTCAGATTTTGTTTTGAATAAATACCGTGATCATTCCTCGGGAACACTAGAAAAACTGATTTTCAAATTTTGACTTGAAACTTAGTATAGAGACAACCATTATTGTGACATGTCAGATCTTGTTGCTGTTGTATTTCGAAAATACAACGATAGTAATAATGTGTGTTTTACATCGTTGATATAAATAGATAGGTTTGGTGTTCGTATGCCAGATTAGGAACAAATCCAAAGATCTGAAACATTTAGTAAGGCAAATCTCTATGCAAATTTTCAAGTCAAAAATCGAAAAACATTTTTATTCATCAATCATTTGAAACTACATAAGGCACATAGTCTCCAATAAAAAATGGTTTATCATTTAGCGAACTTTCATCATTAATTCGAATAATTCTGATCATTCACCTTTTTATTTAGCGATCAATGTTGTTCATCAACAAACTTTGGAGGAACTGCAAATTGGAATATCTGTCGTCTTTATTATCAAATTCATCCACCAAGCAGTTGTACAGGATATCAACCACCTACTATGGGTAAAACAATAATTCTATTCATTTTTACTTTAAGTTATTAGAATTTTCTAGTTACCGGTATTGGTGATCCCCATATCAATACTATTGATAATGGGCGATATACATGTCATATTCAAGGTATTTATGTATTTGCTCAAACAAATGATAATGCTACTGCAACTGCTCAATATAATCGTAATAACACTAGTACATCTGGCAGTAATCTTATCTATCCTGATGATTTATTTCAAATATATGTTCGTTCTGTATCTATACCACCAGCTTTATCTTATATTGAACGAACACAAGGTGATGCTTCGATATTTTCTAGTTACGCAATTGTTGCTGGAAGTTATACTTTTAATATTAGTAATAATGATGGCAAATTTGGTAGGATAATTATCTGATTAAAAAAAAAAGAAACATCAATATTTTGTTTTCTTCTCAGGTTTTGTTGCCAACAATGGTTCATCTATTTTATCACTTACCGATAATTTAGCAAGTAATTTAAATTATGATAATGGAGATTTGATTAATTACAATGATCGATATATTTATCGAGTACAACAAACAGTTGTAACTATAGGAAATATAACTGTACCTCAATTAACATTTGCTCTTTGGTCTGGTATGTAATTTGAATTTTTATTTTTCAAGAAAAAACAAATTAATATATATATATATATATATATATATATAATTTAGGTCTTTCAATGGAATGTCGAATTGTTAGTGAAAATCTTGATTGTATTTTATCATTACCACAAAAATACCAAACATTTATTGAAGGATTAATTGGTAATTTTAATGGAGATTATAGTGATGATTTAATTAATCGTCAAACAAGTCAAACAATTCTTATATCACCTGCGGACAGTGCAACATCTATGAATAATGATACAGAAGTTCTTCGAGCCTGTCTTTCATGTAAATTTATATAAGAAATAAAAATTATTTTATTGTAGAAAATTTTTTTGTCTCTTTCAGGGAAAGTACCTAGTGATACAACACCAATTATGACAAATCCAATAATGCCGTCATACTTAGTTTACACATATTATAATGAATCTGCAGATACTCTTGCAAGTTTAAATCCACGTCTTAGTCAATCTATGATTGATCAAACATGTTCAACAAATTTCGAATGTCGTCATGATTACATCATTCGAATCAATCCAATAACTAGTGCTGCAACAGCTTCATCATTAAATTCATTTCAACAATCAAGAACAATATTAGGTAAAGATATAAATTTGAAAAAAGATTTTTATTTGTTTAATTTCGTTTTTTTTTAATTCATATAGCTGAAATCGTACCAACTATCAACATATCCTCAGCTATTAAAATAGGAATACCATATAATGATACGAATCGTATTTATACATTACCAATTACTATAACTGGTGCAAAAAGTACACTTGTAAATATTTCTCAAAATGGTACTATGAGCACTACTAGTTTTAATAATGTGTCGATTATGATTCCAATTCCGAATGATGCTACTAGTTATGTTCAAGCTTTGTAAGTAATATTGAATGTTCAATACGTTTTTTATAAAGCTAGCCTCATAAATACATTTGTGTTTTGTTTTTTTTGTTTTGCATATTCAATAATGAATGTTTAAACTAAAAGTGACAATTCTATATTTTGATAGATCATTGATTTCTCAATGAAATATAGTAAATAAAAAATAGTACATAATAATGTTCGATTTTGAAAACAAGTTTCTCATTAGTTATTATTGAATATAATGTCAGAAAAATCAATGATATACTTAAAGTTCAACTCAGTAAAATTCTTTTATTTTTGAAATCGAGAGATATAGGCCTGTAGATGATATATAAGAAAAGATACTGTCATTCTTAGAATGAATAGTATTTATCTTGTAATTTCCGACACACTTAATATGTCTTAGTTAATAAATGATCCTTTGATGAATTAACTTTTGAAGAATAGTATAAATTCTGAATTTCTTCTTTTGTTATTTTTTTTAGTTTGACTATGAATTATGGCACAAATTCTACATTGATACAGTATTTGGATATCATTGCTTGTTTATGTAGAAATACTAGTTATTGTAATTATGATGATACAACAACAATATATGATAATTATGAACTTGCTGCATGTCGTTGTCCAGATCAATATGACGGTATAAACATTAAATATACATAAATTCGATAGATTATCGCATCATTTTTCTTTCAGGAGTTTTTTGTCAAGATTCATATAATGGTTGCAATGCGGGTAGTGCATGTAAAATTTATTGGAATAATGATACAACATGTAGTCCATTGAGTGCTGATGATCAAGTAAGACTAAATCGTTCGTATACTTGCAATGGTACATGTTCAAGTGGATTTAATTCAACTAATAATTACACATGTGATGGTAAAAAAAGAACACATTCTAATATTCGAAAAAATATAAATGATGATTATATCATTTTTAGATATTAATGAATGCCAACAAAATTCAACTCTATGTGGAAACGGTGTATGTATTAATCTTATTGGATCATATACGTGTAATTGTTCCACTGGTTATCGATTTGAAAATAAAACATGTGTTGGTAAGTATTCTTTTTTTTTTGTAATATTATAACAAACAAAATTTATTCTCTATTTTTGTCTTTTTTTTCTAAAGATATAAATGAATGTAGAGAACCAAATGTAGATGGTACTTTTGGTGCTCGTTGTAATACTACGGATGTTTGTATAAATACAATCGGTAATTATACATGTCAATGTAGTCCTATTTTTAATACAAATGGAACTTGTGTTTGTATGTAAAATTGGTTGTTTTTGAAATTTGAATTGATAAATATTTATTTTATTAGTTGATTCAAGTAAGTGTTCTGGTGATACTTGCAGAGGTGCTAATGGTACAATATTATGTCTGCGGGGTACAATCGATATAAATAATAGTTGTGTTCGTAAGTAGATTTTTGAATACCATAGAAAAGCAGAAAAACTGAATAAATGAAAATGATTGTAATTATTAATCATTTTAGCTTGGTGTAATTCAACATGTCCTGGTTTTTGTGAAAAAATGAATGATGTTTATCAATGTAATTGTGGAAAATCTCCTGGTTTACGACATTCTGAAGATGGAAAACAGTGTTTACGTATGAATAAGATTCTTGTGTTTTTTCTTATTATTTAAAAAAATTTAATTTAATTTATTAAAGAATGCTATGATTCAAATTATGGTTATGGTTGTAATCAAACATGTAATTGTACGTATGGTACTTGTAATCCAAATGCAACAAGTACAAATGGAAGTTGTATCTGCGATATTAGATATGAAGGAACATTTTGTGATAAACGTATAGACATATGCGGTAAGCGTATAGACTAGAATATAAACAGAGTATATATTTGATGATTATTATCGTTCAATAGAAATAAAAAGTACATATATAATATTAAGGAATGTCTCTTCTGTATGAATAAAAGAAATAGTCGTTTATTTATGCGTGGTATATTGCAAATGATGTAACAGTAAATTAATCAAATATGTAGTTCTTTGCGAACAATATGAAAGCTATGGTTGAGTGTCAAGTGAAAAATGTGGATGCCTATTAGAGTTGTTGAAAATGCGGTACTGACTATATAGATAGAGTCTCTAGTCTTTTTGTCTGATAGTAAATAAAGAAGTTCTTAAACCTTCTTACAATTTTCATGTCATTCATAAATATATTTCTTATCATTAATCGAAAAGAAAATCTTTAAAAAAACCAAAATCAATGACTGATATTCACATTTTGTCTACATCTTTTACTTATTAAATCTCCAAATAAATCTTTCTTTCTTTGTTTTTAGCACGCAGTAATCCCTGCAATAGTGTTTTGGAAGACTGCGTTACAGATCCCGCGAATGGAACTGCTAATTGCAGTTGTAAGAGTGGTTATCAAAGAAATACGACATCAAGTAATTGTACAGGTATGTATAAATAATAATGAGAATTTTTGTATAAATTCATTTTTATACATAGATATCAATGAATGTGAAAGCCAACTAGATCTTTGTATTCGAGATGTTTCAAGTTGTTTTAATACTAATGGAAGTTATAGATGTGATTGTTTAAGCGGTTATCAGGTTTGAAAGATATTGATGTTTTTTGCCTTTCAAAAAAAAAATTCTTTATGAATGTCATTTATTCTCTAGCCTCTTAACGGTTCATGTATTGATATAAATGACTGTAACGTGAATCAGACAATTTGTTCAGGCTATAGTAACACATATTGTACTAATACTCAAGGTTCATATGAATGTCGATGTAGTTCTAATTATTCATTAGGAGGTATGTTTATATAGAAATTTCCGTGTGATAAATAAAATAATTTCTTTAGGAAATTATTATCAACAATTTGGAAATGCTCGAAATTCAACTAGTTCATGTTTACCAACAAACTATTCAATATTCTGTGAAAATCAATGCTTGAAACCGGCTACATGTAGTGAAATAACAGGTCGATGTCAATGTCCTGCAAACTATAGTCTTGCTAGTTATAGTTTAAATAATACTCTACAAACATGTCTATGTCCAGGTCATCCATATGTTTATTTTAATGGAACTGAATGTATTGCTATAAATGGTAAAAAAAATATTTTTAATTATAACTCTTTTTATTGACTATATCCATTAATTATAGCTCCAACTGTGTTCACAGTTACTTTCAATTTGACTTCATCAGGTCGTTTTATACTTATCAGTCCATTGAATTCATCTAATATAGAAACTAATGTAAAATTTAACTGATTATTTTTTGTTTGCTTATAATATATCATTTTTGATGTTAGATATCCAGCTTTTTATTATCTAATATGAATATACAATGTAATGGATCATGTATACAGATATACGATACACAGTAAGTAAGATTGATTAGTACAAAAAAGAAACTTATTATTAATAAATAGGACTGTTGCACTACCAGCTCGTCAACTTGTTATTGCGTTAAGTGTTTTTCTTAATATTACACAACGAATACTATTTGCAAGATATTTGTTCAATACTCAGAATCTCTTAAATGCTAGTTATTCCACAATATTTGTACAAGCAATTATGAACACAAATACAAATGTTACACGTAAGAAACAACAAAATGAAAACTTATTTTATTTTTCGTTTTCTTTAGTTAATATATCAAAAGCTCCAGAGTTGTGTGAAGAATGTGTCTATCTGGGAATAGGTCTTTGTTTACCAAATGGGACCGATTGTCTATGTACTGGTAATTATGGAGGATATTTCTGTCGAAACCTTACTACAACAACAACTGCTGTTTTAACACAAACATTATCGGATAGAAATTGGACAATTATTATTGCTTGTGTCAGTGCTGTAGCTGGTCTTTTCTTAATAGTTTCTATTGTTATGTGTGTATTCTTTTGCATAAAACAAAGAAATACACCTGCTACAGGCATTAAATCACTACCGAATCGTCAACAATTTACAATACCCCGTGCTCATTTTCCAACCGTGGGTACTATTAGTCCTAATCTTTTGGACGATTTTAGTCTTGATAATACAAATGATGAATCATATGTCGATGCATCCGATTCATTACCATCAAGTTCAAATACAACATATAATACAACATATCGTGCAAATGGAAATCGTCCTGAAGCTGACTTTGGTATCTTTGATGAATTAGAAAATCGTATACCTTTATCAAAAGGTCAAATACCACGACCACAAATGCTTGATATGATGGGTACATTAAATAGTTTACCAGCTCAAGAACGATTTGATGGACCATCAGGAGCAGCTAGTACATTTTCAGATAGTCGAGATCTTGATGATATTGAATTTGTAACAGATATGGTTGATGATATGACTAAAGATGATGATATGGAAGATGAATTTGTTGAAGCATTAAATCCAAATTTAGCGATGCCAAGATCAGCTTTACGACCAGAAATGAAATCATCAGGATGGTTTCCAGTAAGTTAACATAAGAAAAATTGTATTTTTTTAAAATTTATACTTATATATATATATTTAATATTTTTAGTTCTTTCGAAATTCGTAATTACGAATATTTCCAAATATGTATTTAGAACACGTCTTGTTATTCATTTTACTGCTGGTTCAGTCTAATTTATATATTATTTTATTCATGCTTGTTTTCATAAATTGCTTTTCATGACATCTTCTTCAGAGTTCTTTTTCATTTTTCTATCGTTTCTTCGTTTTTTTTCGTACTTTATCATCCCGAGTGATTATTTCTGCGAGAAAGATTACCGTTCAGTGATGATCTGAAAGATGATAGAAAATAAGAAAAAAAGTGACAGTGGAAGATTTTTTTTCTTTATTTATCGAATTATCTTATATCTTCGTATTTTTCTTTTTGGCTTCTTTTTTTTTATAAATAAACTACAATGATTAACTTCAACCGAATTATGTTTATCAATAAAATCTCGATGATCTCAAAAACCCACATAATATCAATAGTATTTGATGATAGGAAACAAAATCACATTTATCATTGACAAATACATTTTTATTAACTTTATTCGATCGCAGAATATGATATCTATTGGTATAAATGATATCAGATTAATTTATAGTAAGTCAACATTATATTTTAAGAGAGAAAAAACGAATAATGGATGACCTTCAAAAGATTAAAGATGAAATTATATTTGAAAAAAATGTTAAATCTGTTGTTTTTCGTATTATAACTATTGATTTAGTGATGACTAAAGTATGATTGCACTGAAACTCCTATGAAAGAAATATCAGACATGATAGAACTTCTTTTAATGAAAATGAAATATTTTTTGAAAGATCTAAAATAATTTTTGAGTTATAGACTAAAGCGAATAGATATAATATGATTCGGAAAAAGAGATTAATTTAATCATAATTAGGTATTCACGATATCCGAACTTTGGCACAGTGTTCGAGTTCAAAAACTCTTCGACGAGTTCAGACAGTATCAAATATATGCTCAAGCATCTTTTTTTGGAGGTATATGGATAATTATAGAACCACCCTAAGGTTCATTGAGTTCAAATTCGAGTATTACTGAAGATTAGTAACTTTGTTAGTATGCCTGCAGATCTTTGGTTTTTGGATAATCTATTCCGCTCTGTATAGATCTACTATAGTCAAACTTGAAATTCTCTCTTGTGAGTTCCTAATCAAAACATAATTTTGTCTTATTAATTGTATAAAAATTTGTCACCAATGAAAATTGTATCAAACAATTTCTAATGGTTTATCAAATTATCTACATTGTCGCTTTGCTTTATAGAACAATTCAGGTTTGATTAATATCAAATTTATGCTATCATTTATACTAGATGTGAGAAATATGGAAAATTATTGATTTATTTGAAAGCACTAGTCGTTTTGGAATAGTCAATTCTATTTTACGAATCGCACAGATATTAAAACATTTTAACGAAAAAAATTCATGTGTTCTTCTGAAGAGTCATAATATCCAGGTAAAGATAAGAGCTACACCTACACCTACACCCATTACTCACAAGTCTTAACTCTGATGATATTTGAGTGTCAAGTGAGATATTCATCTCATTAAACTAAAAGCACTCAAAGTTTTGTAATTAACGACATATGGATAGTCTAGAATGCATTAGATGAATGTTGTAATTGCTATGGTTATAATCTGGATACCCGAGTTAGAGATATTGTAATATTTCTCATATTTATTTATAGAAAATTAGATTTCATTATAACATATGAAAGCTTCTCTCACTCTAGTAACCATAATATTAACTGTAAGTATCAAATAATCTTAACCAAAGAATTTAGTTGAACTTCAAAACTTCAACAGCATTTGAAATGTATTTTTTCAGAAGTTTTTTGAGTTTTTCCTATAAATGTTGATATTGATTTTAATCCTGTGAAAAATAAATTCAGAACGGTACCAGAGAAAACACCTAGGATGGAGGATTAATTGATTTTTCGGAACTACGGAGTTTTTTCAACTACAGATCAAACATATTATACGCTATCAGTTAATAAATCATCAAAAGATAAATTTCAGTAACCTTCTCAGACTCTACACATCTGTCATGGAAAGCATCGAGATGAAATGAACAATTAATCGTTTGATTATAGACAAGAAAATAATTATATTCAATTAGAATATATTGCATAAATTTATTGGTAAATGGGAAAAATAATAATAATAATAACAGCAACGCAAAAAGTTCGGAACAAAAAAATATGACTCGGAGAAAACAAAACATTTATAAATAGAATTTATAATTTTGTTTTTAATATTCATTTTTTTTTTGGATATTATAGTTCATTTTTCGTTTAATTATTTTATCGAATAAATAAGCAATTATTAAGGATTTCTTTTTGCACACTGTTTGTTAACAATATAAACAAAAATGTATAGAGAAAGCATTTGTTTTTGTATAATTTCATCTGAGAACATCGGTAATGAACGGAAATTTTCTTACATTGTTAGGTACAGTAGATGATGTATCGATTGCAGTTGCCGTTGTCGGATAATCACCAAAGACAAATCGAAAGCTAAATACATAACAAAAAAAAAACAAAGACTTCATAACTAATTTTAACAAATGTGCAATATTAAAATTTTGGACGTATTGCAAATAAAGCAGAATCAAATAAAAAAACAACATCAAAATAATAAATAAATCGTAGAAAAATAAAAAAAAACAAAAAGTGAAAAGAAAAAGCTTGAATGATCTGGTTTTTGTTTTTTATTTGGATGATGCTGATGAAAGCAGCGGAATCTTTGTTTCTGACATTTTTCGATTTATATTAAAAAGACTTCCAATAGAAATTTGTTGTGATGACGAAAGATTCGGTTCGACAGATGGTGAAGAAAATGTCGAATACGATCGACTAACAGGTACATTTGATGTTATTCGTGTCGATGGAGTTGCTAATAACTTAATTGGAGTATTTTTTTTTAATGATGATGATTGTTTAGTTGGTGGAAATAATACACGTAAGCTGAAAGCAAATAAACAAAACAACATCAACAATGCAACAAAAGCATTTCAAGCTAAGCTCAAATCATTAATAATGAAATAAGTGTTATAGATTAACTGCTAGCTTGAGGCTAATAGGCAATAGGTTGCCAAAAATAAACATGCAAATGTCCTCAATTAATGATAATGCAAAACTTTGCGCACAAGTTTCATGCAGAACGAATAGCGAAAAAACAAACAAAACAAATGAATCAGTACATTTATAAAAGCATGCCTTTGATTTACTCATGCCAAAAGCTTACCACAGTGAAGCAACTGCAAAGCAAGTGATAGTAGGAAAGAATAAACAAAACTTCACACTGAAAATAAATGGAACAAATACACAAACAGAGACGTGCTACGATAGCAATGATTAATGTATGATTATGAAACATAACACTAAACATTTAACTTACAATTGACGAATTTTTGATTCATCACGTTTATGACCATATAATTTTTCATCGGGTTCTAATGGAATTGGACCTTCAACAGCGCCATTATTATCATCATCTTCTCTATAAAAAACAAGCAACAGTAAATTTTATAAAAAGAAATGTCTATTGATGATTTTTACTGTTCTTTGAATAATCGTAATTCTTCTTCAACTTCCATTAATTTTGTTTTTAAATCATTTCGTTCCCATAACACTTGTCGTAATTCTTCAAGTGAAAATCGTGGTTGATTAGCTTCAAGTGTTGTTAAATCATTAATGGGATTCTAACCAAAGAAAAATTTTCATCTTCTCATTTTCTGTTTTTTCCCCTCAAAACTCACTATAGGTGATGTTGGACTAGTAAGTTCATCGGCAACACGATCTTTCATATGATTTATAAAATGTTCTTTTTCTTTAAGTTGAACTTCTAAATCAAATTTCTCGACCATTAATCGTTGAGTTTGATTAGCAGAAAATGTATTCTTCTGACGTAATGTACAATTTAATTTACAAACACGTTCAAGTTGACCTTGAATCTAAAAGAAAGTTAATTGTGTTTTCAAATTTAAAACAAAGTTTATGTATGTCTTGTTTGGAGGGACTTGTGTTTTGTATACTTAAACATTCATATCAATTATAAATATAAATAAAGGTATTAAACTCCTTGTCGTAATAACAAAAGCGCAGATCTCCTATTACGTCCTGCTCATTATTTCTCCAAGATAAATCTTCTCTTACAGCGAGGAATTTAATCTAAATATTTTGAGAATCGATTCAAATGAAGTTTAATTCTTTATAATTCATAAAAATTTCCTTAAGATGGAATCTAAATTTATATCTAATCCTTTACCTTTCTGAATAGTAGAGAAAAAACTAGACGCTTTCGTTCAAAGATATACTCATTTGATCAATATCTGAGCCTAGAAAAGTTTCAAACAGTTTCAATGCAATTTTAAGTAGATATTGATTAGTGCGGAAAACTCAAGTGAAACAAACATTTATTCTAATGTAAAGCTAATAGAATAATCTAAAAGTCGAATTCTATTTGTTAAATGTTACACATATTTTCATAATTTTGTTTTTTAATTTGAGATAGAATCACCATCTTAAAAAACATGGGAAAATAGTATTTGATTAACATTATATTTTTTTCGAATTGATTGAAAAGTATTTACAACATGAATTTATTTTTGAATTGGAATGAATGTTTTACTTACAGCTTCTGTATCGAGTGTTTTTTGTGATAATTCTTTATCTTTAGTTTTTAACAATCGTTTTAATTTCATATTTTCATCAGTTAAATTTTTAATACATTGAAGTTCTTCACGAGTAATGCCTATTTAAAAACAAAACTAATTTTCATAAAATAATAATACGAAAACTATCATACTAATTATTTCAGTTGAACTATGCAAATTCGATTTTTCATGTAAATCATTCTTATTTTGAAGTTCATCACGTAATCGTCGATTTTCATCTTCTAATTTTGAAACAAGTCCCATTAAATTATCAGCCTAATAATACAAAAGAAAAATTAA